CAAACTCAAGAGTAATCATAAGAGTGCCAACTAAAATAATGAGTACCATTTTTTTAGTCGTTGGATTAAGACTACCTAATGTTAACAAGGATGTGCATGAAAATACAGCCTTTTGGAAGACAGTTTGACAAGATATTAAAATACTGAATTTTATCCTTCAACTCAGTGAATCTACTTCTTGAATTTACCATAGGGAACCACCTCTAACAGATGCTCAAGAAAACAAGCATGTACAAGAATGTTTATTGCTATATTTTTTGTAATCTTGAAATATCAAATGACCCAGATGTTCGTCAATAGCAATTAAATAAAATAGAGATTTATGTGTACTGACATAGAAATATGTCCAAAAAATATTGTGAAATAGGGAAAAAGTAATGAAATTATATATTTTTATACCATTTTTGTATTTAAAAAGCATTTGTTACAATGTATTTCTGTAGATTTAAATGTATGTTAAGCACACAGAAGTAGAAAAGAATATATACACACTGTTAATAGTGATTACTTTTTGGGAGGATTTGGGAGGACATCAAAGGAACTTTAGCTTACTTTTTTTTTTAATAATTAGAATGTATTTATGAATTGTGTGATTATAAGTATTTTCTCTTAATTGCTATGGACTTCTTGTTACTCTAGTCTCTCTCGATTGCTAATAAGATTAAGCTTCCCATAACTATATAGAAAACTCATCAGTTGGAAAGGACAAAGATTAAAAGGAGTACCTCGTTGTCTTAAAGGGAATTAAAAAATATTCTGAAATTATCAGAGTAGTATTTTAGTTGGCAAAACTAATCTGCAAGCCAGTGTTCTAGTGTAATACTCTGGCATGTGTACTTGGATTTCTAAATACTGAATTTTGAGATTCTAAATACTGAATCTTCCAGATTTTCTAAATTGTTTTATTTTTTGCATTCTAATAGCTCGACACTTCATGCATCAGATCATCACAGGAATGTTGTATCTCCATTCTCATGGTATATTACACCGGGACCTCACACTTTCTAACCTCTTACTTACACGTAATATGAACATCAAGATTGCCGATTTTGGGCTGGCAACTCAGTTGAAAATGCCACATGAAAAGCACTATACATTATGTGGAACTCCTAATTACATTTCACCAGAAATTGCAACTCGAAGTGCACATGGACTTGAATCTGATGTTTGGTCTCTGGGCTGTATGTTTTATACGTTGCTTACTGGGAGACCACCTTTTGACACAGACACAGTCAAGAACACATTAAATAAAGTAGTATTGGCAGATTATGAAATGCCAACTTTTTTGTCAAGAGAGGCCAAGGACCTTATTCACCAGTTACTTCGTAGAAACCCAGCAGATCGTTTAAGTCTGTCTTCAGTATTAGAGCATCCTTTTATGTCTCGGAATTCTTCAACAAAAAATAAAGATTTAGGAACTGTAGAAGACTCAATTGATAGTGGACATGCCACAATTTCTACTGCAGTTACGGCTTCTTCCAGTACCATTATAGGTGGTAGTTTATTTGACAGAAGAAGACTTTTGATTGGTCAGCCACTCCCAAATAAAATGACTATATTTCCAAAGAATAAAAATGCAAGTGATTTTTCTTCTTCAGGAGATGGAAGCAGTTTTTATACTCAGTGGGGAAATCAAGAACAAGAAATCAGTAATAGTGGAAGGGGAAGAGTAATCCAAGATGCAGAAGAAAGGCCACATTCTCGATACCTTCGTAGAGCCCATTCCTCGGATAGATCCGGCACTTCTAACCGTCAGTCTCGAGCAAAAACATATACAATGGAACGATGTCACTCAGCAGAAGGGCTTTCAAAATCCAAAAGATCAGGAGTAGGTGAAAATGAAGAAAGATACTCACCCACAAACAGCAATGTCAATGTTTTTCACTTCTTTAAAGAAAAGACATCCAATAGTTCTGGATCTTTTGAAAGACCTGATAATGATCAAGCACTGTAAGAATAATTCTATCAAAAGCATTTTATTTTTTGATAAACATTATATTAGCACAAATGTGAAGCTCTGTCTACCTAAAGGGGGGTTACCTGTTTTCTAACATTGTCAGATGTTCCTGGGGCAATTCTTGACTATGGTTTCTGTTTCTTACTAGGAAGAGAATCAGAATGATGATTTTGAATTGTGGTTAAGAATCTCTTTTAAAATGAGTGTATGTGCTCATGAATGAATTTGTAGTATGTGTTTAATACTTGGGAATTTTTTGTTTCATTTTTTAATTTTATATGAAGCAGGTCTCCAGTACTAGGTATCATATATTAAACATGTCTGATCCCCAAAATACTGTAATAGTAAATATTTTTAAATATTTTTTTCTGAAAAAGTTGTTACCTGATAATTTTTTATTAGTTTATGGAATTTTCTTTTCTTTGTCTGTTTAGCTCCAATCATCTTTGTCCAGGAAAAACTCCTTTTCCATTTCCAGACCAGACATCTCAAAGTGAAATGGTGGAACAGTGGTTTGGGAATCTGCAAGTAAATGGTGCGTTTTTAATAAAAAATTAATGACTTGGACACTTAAGCATTTCACTTTTCTGTTTGGGTTTTCTTAAGAAAATAATACATTTTCAATAAACTGCATTACAGTAATAATAACTGTTAACACATTTTGACTATTTACTATATCTGCCACTGTCCTTAATGCTTCACATACATTATTAACTTATTAGAGTCTCACAAAAAACATATGAAGAAGATACTATTATCAGCCCTGTCTTACAGATGAGATGAGAAAATTGTGGTGCACAGAGCTTAATTTGCCAGGCTACACTGCCCATAAGTAAAGGAGCCAGAATTCTAACCCAAGCAATCTGCCTCAGAGACTTTACTCTTAACCCCTCTCTTCTTATATCTTTTCTGTAATAATCACCTACTGTCAGTGCCTATAAAATAATCAAAAGATGACTGACCTTATTTTTAAGTAGAAGCTGATGTGGACATCATGGTTTACTATTGGGACCTCACGTACGCTCAAGTACACAGCTACCTAAACATTTTTAAACAGCTGTCATTCCAGTCATTATTTGTAGATATAGAGTTTGCAAGTCCAACCTTTCTCATTAATGACCAGGACAGATTCACAGAAGGTAGGTTGGAAAATAAAGACGGAGTAAGAGAAAATAAAAAAGAAACATACGGAGAGGAGGAGATCATTTGTGCTAAGTATCATATTACCTCAGACAAAGAGTGCTTAATAGTGCTGTAATTTAAGCAGAGAGTTTGTTCTGTCACCGCAAGAGTCTATTCTTTTTTTTTTAAATGTATATTATTTTCAAGAGCCCAAAAGAATTAATCTTTTCATTTGTACTTGTTGAAGATGATAATTCAAGTTTGTGTTTTTTAAACTTTAGAACTGTCATTTACTTAATCTTGCACTTGACCTTCTATTGTGTTTATAAATACTTTTATTTGGTAACATAGACATGTCTGAGATGGAGAAATAGCCTTACTTATAATAATCTAGTAGTGCTGCTGCAATTTTAAAGTGTATTATTTGGTACAAAATATTTTCTGTCGTAATAGGAGTAGGGGGGAAAAGCACTAAAAAGTCATTTAAGAAAAAAATTACAATACTAATTTTTAGAGTTTAGCATTTGAAAAATTGCCTTACAGAATTTTATATAGTCTAATGACTTCGGGGCCTTAAAAAAATAACGTTCCCATGTGAATTCTCAAAATATAGATGGGTAAAGTGGAACAAGAACTTTTAAAAAAATGTGGGTGCAAATACATTTGTCATATTAAATACTAATAACATTAAAGCTATTTGATATATTATAGTGTTTTTTGCTTTTAGTTGCATATTTGGTAAGTAAAGATGGAATAGACAGTCCTTAGCTTAAAGAGAATAAATTTAAATATTTTCTAGAATGATTACCTGGGAACTCCTCTCAAATCTGTATTTGTTAGATTGTACATTAGTTAGATTGTACATTAGTTAGATTGTACATTAGTTAATACTGTACATTGGCGGTTGCTTGTTTTAGAAGTAGTGGGTGACCCTAGGTAACTAGTTTTTGCCTTGAAAAATTAATTTCATATTATTATCTTTTCTTTCTTAGTCTTAGGAATACTAAAGGTATTTCTTTGCAATCTGGCTTAAAATATTTTTTTAAAGTCACTCTTTTATTATGTCATATCTTAAACTGCTTATCGTTAGAAAACTTGTGAGCTTTTTTTTTTTACTAGATTTCTTTTGTTCCTCAAAAGAAAATGCTATTAGAATAATACCAACATGACATTGTTTTGTGTAGACTTGGCTTTTTAATTATTCACTAAATTGCTTTATTCTATGTATATTATAGCTCATTTAAGAGAAACTACTGAGCACAACAGCTTTAGCCCAGACAGAGATTTCCAGGGCCATCCAGATTTGCAGGATACGTCAAGAAATGCCTGGACTGATATAAGAGCCAAAAACAGCCCTGATGCTTCTGATAATGCACATTCTGCAAAACAGCCAAATACCATGAAATATATGACTGCATTTCACAGTAAACCGGAGATAATTCAACAAGAATCTGTTTTTGGCCTAGATCCTCTTTCTGAACAAAGCAAGACTAGGGGTATGGAGCCACCGTTGGGTTATCAGAAACGTACATTACGGAGCATTACATCTCCTTTGACTGCTTACAGGTTAAAACCAATCAGACAGAAAACCAAAAAGGCTGTGGTATGTCTATTATTTTTCTAAATTACTATATGATATTTCCCTTGAGTACATGGTTTCTGATATCAAACATAATGTTTTTTTAGTTCCCTAAAATGTCCCTGTGCTTTTGATATGTACATGATAAATTCATTTAAATAGAAAAGAGACTTGAGTGTTTATGGAAAAATAACACGGTTCCTTCTGGCTACTTTAAGAATGGTGAATTGATACTGATAAGTTTTGAATTTTAAATTACTGATAATGAAAAACATTTAAAAATAATATTGGCTAAATACTGTGTTAAATATTATTCACAATTCCAGTCACTAAGTTAATGTTTAATGATACCGTTTGCTTTTGTTTTTATTGTTTGTACATTTAATCCAGTCTCAAATCAGAAAGGTAAACTAGGAAATATAACTTTTTTTTTAACATCTGAAACTATTTAAAGAAATGAGTATGCACAAAATTAAGTTTAGAGTTTAAAAAAATGTGTGTGAATTGGGAATGGTGATTTTATTTTTTAATTCCATGTTCCTCCTGTTTGTCCTTGTTTTCCATTTCACCCAGTCTTGCCTTTGTTTGGTTTGCTATTGTCTTTTCAAAGTCCTCATTCTCCACCCTACCTTCTGCTTTCATTCTGCTTCGGTGGTTATCATTTCACGTTTCATTATATCTTCTTACCTTTGCTCCTTATGTTTCACAGATGTGCTCAAATACACCTCTGGTCTAGACTGTTGCCGTGAAGCAGCTATTCGATTTTGACTTTAATTTTTGTTTCAGCCATGGTTAAGTACTTTTAAGTATTATATATGTCAGAGCTATTTAGTAAACAAGAGAATTGTTATTGATTTTAGTTTTTTTTTTTTAGGTGAGCATACTTGATTCAGAGGAGGTGTGTGTGGAGCTTCTAAAGGAGTTTACATCTCAAGAATATGTGAAAGAAGTTCTTCAAATATCTAGTGATGGAAATATGGTAATGTGGATTTACTTTATTACCTTGCATCTTCTAATCATCACTTAAGCATTTAGCATTCCAATCATTCTATAATGGTATCTTTAATATTTTTAAAAATCAGTTTTCCTGATGTGATAGTGCCTCTGGAATTCAAAAACTGAAATAGCATACTACACATATTTTAATAAATTAGTGTGGTTTTTAAAATAATTGTAACTAGTCACAAAATCTAAATTTTAAGCTTAAGTTTAAAAAGCAAAAAATAGAGAATATTTAGCATTTTCAGTAAAATAATATTTAATATTACATATGAGCTCTTTTCATAATTTTAGTAACAAAGTATAGTGCTGTAACTTAATGGCATATAATTATAATTCTTAAAAATTTTTTTGGCAGATCACTATTTATTATCCGAATGATGGAAGAGGTTTTCCTCTTGCTGATAGACCACCTTCGCCTACTGACAACATCAGTAGGTACAGCTTTGACAATCTACCAGGTATGAAATTTATCAGGGAATAGATTTAGAAAGTGGATTGATATATATGTAAACTTTATATACATGGATGTCATAGGTTGTAAATATCTTGGCTTTAGTCAGGCTGCTGGTCATGTTCTCATATTTTATATCTGGTGATACCTTGCTAATCCAGTATTCATATTTTGTGTTTTAATGGTATTTTAATCTATTTATTTAAGTAAAAACTAACTCTGGAATATTAGTCATATATCACACATATATAATTTGTACATTTGCTTAGTTACTAATTTGTCTAGAATCATGTTAGAAATTCAACATGAAGTATGTAGTTTTTGACTTTTAAAATCATTACCATGCTACATAAATGATCATTTATACTTGTGATTAACCAAATTTGACTCCCAGTTCAGCTTCTGGATGTTATGATTGGGGAATTAAATATTGAATAGTAAGACTTCACCATGGTGATTTTTAGAAACAAGAAAACCTATCTAATCTAATCCTATTAGGGAAAAAACAGGTCAACAAGACTATTTATTTAAATACTGTAAGTGACCATAGGTCCAGGGAACTACAAAAACTTACTTTTGTATATAGGGACCATAAAACTCTATGCTTCACTAACATAAAAAGAATTTTCTTTTCCTGAAAGTCGTTTGGTTCTTATATCTCAGGTAGAAATCTTTTCATTTCATTTGTTAAAACTTTGCTGGAATCATTACCTTACTTATAATAAGGAGTCAATGATTTAAAGAAAGATTTTTTAAATAATCATGATACAAGTCATCAGATTTTGTTATATACTTCTTGGGAATTTTGTTATACTATCTTTAGTTCTCATTAAAATAATAGACTTGCATCTCTAAAGTATTTTTATTTTGGTACTGAGCTTACTAACCTATCAACTTGAATTTTTGAGAAAAAATAGAAATAAATATTAAACTTATATGGAATTTATATGTCCAGTCAACACTTTATTCCCTACTGTTAGGTAATTTTTTTCTTTTCTCCCCCTAGAAAAGTACTGGCGAAAATATCAGTATGCTTCCAGATTTGTACAGCTTGTAAGATCTAAATCTCCCAAAATCACTTATTTTACAAGATATGCTAAATGTGTTTTGATGGAGAATTCTCCTGGTGCTGATTTTGAGGTTTGGTTTTATGACGGTAAGTACCATTTAGAAATGGTAATTTTTTTCCCTTTAGTTCATAATTTAGTAGTTGTGGGTTTTTCGTTTTTTTTTAAATTTTCACCACAGCAGCTTTTTAAGATGTTCGGTCATGTGCTGAATGATGTCATTTCAGTCAGTAACAGACCGCATATACAACAGTGGTCCCATAAGATTACTACCATATAGTGTAGGTGTGTAGTCGGTTATATCAGCTAGGTTTGTGTAAGTATGCCCTATGATGTTCACACAACGACAGAATTGCTTAATGACCTATTTCTTAGAGTGTATCCCCGTTGTTAAGCAACGCATGACTGTATATACATTATGTGTCTGTGCGTATATCTGTATAAATAAATTATGCAGCATAGTATACTGTATGTCAAATCATATTAACTAAAATTTATTTATGTGTACTTTCTTGTAAACACTTTATCCTATAATATGTATATTAGTCCTCTTTCCCTTTTTGACTCAAATTTAACACCACTCAGATTGATAGTATAAAAATCACATGAAATAAACAGTATCCTATTTCTTATTAGAAACTTAAATGGACATATACCAAATCATGAGAACTATAAATGTGGCAAAAGGATAGGGTTGAATCAGAGGATCTTATTTTCTAAATCTATTCTATAAAGATGACTTACTTTTTAACCTATAAGGCTATCTCCTTTAAGGGACACAGCACGTACACTCACACAGTACACATATAATTATAGCTATCCTTCAGTTGTGTCTTGTAAGAGAGCAGTGATTTTTTAAAATATCATAAAAGTATTAGACTAAAGCCAGATATGTGCAGAAAAGAAAAATGGGTGGACTATGTTTTTTTGAATACTTTGAGAGCTTCATTTTATTAATGGTCAGTAAGTGAATATAAATGATACCTTGATCCTAGGAGCTGTTATGTACTGGTATGATATTGAATGTAAATCTAGGAATATCTAAAGAAATGATAACAGTTTTCTTCTTATTTTTTAAGGAGCAAAGATACACAAAACAGAAGATTTAATTCAGGTGATTGAAAAGAGTGGGAAATCTTACACCTTACAAGGTGAAAGTGAAGTTAATAGCTTGAAAGAGGAAATACAAATTTATATGGACCATGCTAATGAGGTAGGTACCTGTGTTGTAGGTTTTCATACCAATTAATAATGATTACAAATGACACAGGTGAAGCAATGACAGAAAGCACTCTTCTTTTGAAATAGGGTCATCGTATTTGTTTAGCACTAGAATCCATAATTTCAGAAGAGGAAAAGAAAAGTGGAAGTGCTCCCTTTTTCCCAATAATCATAGGAAGGTAAATGTTTGAAAAAATTTTAAATATGGCTAAAATGTATGGGAAATGTTAAAAAAAAGTCTGGTGTTTACATTATGAACATTCTTAGTTTTCTATAAATTGAAAGCTTTAAAGGAATATATGTGGACATTTCTGTCTCCTTCAGAAAACCTGGTAATACTAGTTCACCTAAGGCCTTATCACCTCCTCCTTCTGTGGATCCAAACCCCCCAGTGAGAGAGAGACCATCTTTGAGTAGAATGATCAAAAATAGTGCTGCTTCTTTGCAACACGCACCGGTACTTAATCCTTCT